GGAGCTGGCCCTGTTCCTAAGCCTAGCCTATTGTCCTGACTGTTGTGCTCTCTGCTTGTAACAGATGACAAAAAGGCCCTGGAGCTACTGGCATTGCTGGTGTGCCCTGGAAAGGTGCATGGCAATCCTGCAAGCTGTGGGGGAGAGGACAGTTTCAGCCATATGTAAGATCTGCTGCAGGGCACAGCGGTGGCTGCTGAGCTCACCTTTCCATCTGTTGAATGAAATGTGCAATCTGCCCCTGCAAGCAGATGTCAGCAGCTCTGAGTCGTGGGGCCTGCCCAAGCCATGGCCAGGCCTCTCCTTCCTTTCTACCTTCATGCCATCACTGCCAAAAGCAGAGAGAGTATTTTAGTTTTTCTCTGGTTTTGTCTGTTTGCTGTTCAGTCCCTCCAGTCCTTCCAAAAGTCACTTTTGCTGGGGGAAGGAGCTTCTTGCCCAGACTAGGGGAGAAAAGATCTTCAAAATGTTCCATTTCCCCACTCTGACACAAATATCACACTTATACCCACGTCTGTGTACGCCAGGCTCCAGGATAAAAGTGGTTCTGCTGGTACCTGTAGCACTGGTTAGTGGGATTTTAGTGCAGGCTGTGATGTTACTGACAATGATAACACATACTGTAAGCAATAATCTGAATTTTAGTAGCTCCACAGTGTTCAGCATTTGTCCAATGCAGTGGTTAGCATGCTGTAGGTAAATGTGCAATCGAGCCACAGTTCTAAGATACTTTTTGAAATTATTATTTTACTTGCTCCTTAATGCAGCACTTTAGATTTATTTTTTTAAAGTATATTTACAGTATTTGTCTGTAAAAGTAAAAACAAAAGGATGATTCAAGAGCAGCCAAGCACTGTTTGTTCAGATGATATGGGACTCTCTAGGATCTTTGTGCCTTCTGCTTTTCTGCGGGAGGTCAGTTTCCCTCACATAAGTGTAGACTGCCTGTTCCCCACTGGAATTTGAAGAGCCCATTTCCATGACCTAAAGTGGTGTCAGTGGGAAAGGTGTGGATGAGGCTTCTGGAGCACTGGGTTCAATGGTCTGCCATAGTCCTTCAGGAGTTTGGAATGGTCACTGTTTTACAGTTGCTCATCTGGAAAGTGGGAATTGAGAAGATAAATGTGTCTAAAGGTACTGAAGTGCTCAACATGTTGCAGGGACGAGGCACCTGAGCAAGCCAAGTCATTTTCCTGTATTTAGATACTATAAAGACACAATGATTGTCAAGTCTTTGTTTTAACCAAAATAGCATTTTTCTGTAGTGAAGGGTGTTTCTCTCTGATATATTGAATCCTGTAAATGGTGTGAGTGAAAGGAAACCCTTTTTAATGGCCTGCCATTTCACTTTAGAGTGCCAGATCATGCTGAATTTACCTAATGTATTCCAAAGGTTAATTACCTAGGCTGCCAAAGTGTTTTCTCTTATTTCCCAGGGGAATTTTTGTAATTTCATCTCGCAACCTTTACAGTTGGTGCTCAAACTGACGGTTAAGATGGCTTTTAGCAAGGATGGCATTATATTAGCAGGCGTTTGTGCTCTGAATCTGCTCAGTCTGAGATGTGGGCTATCCTACACAATAAAGATCACAGCCTTTGGCCATCTGTGGTTGTCCCAGTTTCTCTGTGTCTGGGACTGGCATATAATCTAATATAATAATCTAGTACTAGTATTTTTTTCCTAATTTGCCAGCTAGAATACACCTTCTGTTTGCTTGCCAAGTGAGTTTATTTCATGAAAGAATTTATTTTCATAATTACTGAACTTTTTTTATTGTAGCGAGATACTAAAGTCTGGATAAGGATGTAGTTTCTTTAGGCTGTCATGTTATTTTTTATATCTTTTAATTTTCAGCTACTGTGATAAAAGCATATTATGAGAGAACTAGCCTTTGCCTCAGTAAGAAGTAGATGAAATAATGAAGACGATAAAGCAAGAGAGTCAGGAAGTAGGATACAAAGCCTAAGTAATACCAACATCTCTTTTTTTAATATACGTATGGTAAAAACTGAAATCAGTCATATTTAAATAGGAGCTTTGGCAAGCACTCTAAAAATACTTTCACTGTGGAATGTGTAAAGTAGAAGTTCCATTAAAAACTCCAAGCTTGAAATTATTAATGATAAACTTTAAGGAAGTTAATAAATGGTGACAATAGTTCTACTGTATGGAAGTTACATTTGGACATTTGTAATCAGTAACTTGTGCTACTCTGTCATCAGCCCTGGAGACAGATTGTTCTGAGTTTCTGTAGAGATTTCCTGGAAATATTTGTAAGTGACCAGAAATGGCTGGTATTTAAAAGAGTGATTTGATGGCTAAACAGAACTTTTTTGGGTGGCTCTTCTGTGGTCTTGAATCATCAGCACCTGCTTCCCCAAACCAGCTGTGGTTACAATCTGTGTCTGACTTCAGTGCAGAACTGTGTTCAAACTGATTCATCGGGAGCCTGGCAAAAGCCAGTTTCCCACAAAAGTGGGTAGATAAGGTGTTTATTTTTCCCTGTTGTTATCTGGGCACTGGTGGTCCTCTAATGGTTTCCCACAGTCCTGTAGGGAGCCTATAACAATGTTTTCCTCCATAATTGTCTAGGAAAGGAATCCCAGAGCAGCAATGAGGAATATGATTTTGGAGGCTGTTAAAACTCCCTTATGAGTGTGGTGCCAATAAGGACATGGTGACCAAGGTGGGACGTTGTGGTGTGGCTCCTTATAACCTGGCTGAGGCCAGCTTGGGTATCAGTCACCAAACTGAACTCTGCAGTGAAGACACATCTCTGAGAGGGGCCTCTCAGAACAGCGCCTTCCAGCCTGTGGCTGCTTCTCATTCCCTCTTGGGCTTTTGGGTACGAGCACCACAGAACTCATCGCCGAGGAGCAGTGAACTAACTGTTGAAGGCAGAGGGCACAGCCTGGAGAAGCACCAAGGCTGTTGTCATTGAGTGTCTGGTGAGCAAAAGCACAGATGATTCTGGCTCTTTCCAGCCCAACAACTGGAAAAGATTTGAGAGAAAACAATGAAAACAGTTGAAGGTGCTTGTTGCTAAAAAGCCCCCGAAGGCCCCAGAAGGCCCTGGCTGTAAAAGAGAGTTTGAAGAAAGTTGAGGACCCATTGTCTCCCAAAAGGCTATTGTTGGTGGATCCAGGCTACTGGAAAAGCAGCAAAGCCAAACACGGCTGAATTGAAAGTGGCAAAGGCTCAGAAAAGCTGATCTGAAGAAGTAGTAACGTTACTAGAGGAAATACAGCAGGTTTAATGCTCAAATAAACCAAATCTTTTAATTTATGCTCTCAAGATCTTTCAGCAGGAGCAATCAACAGGCGAAGGGTTTGAAGGAGCGGTTTGAAGCTGCCTGGCTGTGTAGGGCCTGGGACAATGTTGAAATGTGCCTGTTGCCCCATCCCAGACTGGGAAGTAGCACAAGCTTCACTTCTGTTCTCTAAGCACTGGGTGTGTGCTTGAATGCAGGGGCACAGAACTTCAATATGTTTTAAAGCAGTTCAGTTCTTGTGGGAAACCTCAGAAAATAGTCTGACAAAACAGCCCATGTCTTGGGTGCTCTGCTGCTGGGCATGTTTTGGTGAAGCTCATCTACCCTAATGCTTCATTTTTATTCCTGTTTGCATCCTCCCTCCCTACTTACTGCAGATACAAATTGGCCTCGCATAAGGGATGACCAACAGCAACAAATATCTTCATCAAAACTACAGCTTTGCACGAGGCATCTATTACTCCACACCACTTAGGGTGATATATCCAAGGAAGGGCTTATGCCCTCATGTACGAGCGCAGTCATTTTACACTCCTGAAAAATGCCATTGCTTTACTGAAGAGAAGCTGACATGCCTGCCAGGACATGCTGCTTTTAAATACTCCTGCTTATGCCAAGAACATGCAAGAGTCTGTGTAAAAATGGAAGACCGGTAATTTTCCTGGTAATATCTTTAATTTTTAACTGTTGGCAAAATCAAGCCAATTATTCTTTGTAAATTTTGTTAAGCTTCCTGGATTTATGGGAGAGATCCAAGAGCACACCTCTCAAGTGAAATAACCTAGCTGTCGTGGGAGCGCTTTGGGCAGTAAGGACTTGTTTCTCTTCTGTTGTACCATGGAAGCACTAGGATTTCCAGGGAGATGTGAGCACCTGCTGAACCTGCTGATGGACTCAAGGTGTTTACAAGGTTCCTGTCTTAAAGTTGTCTCCAACAGTAAGGGATATTCATGCTGCTGTCTGAGGGAGGCACATGTGTGCTTTCTCTTGTAGCTAGTCACTCGTTTTCACAAACCTTAGAATTGTACATCTTTGAGCCCTCTCCTGCTGTGTTGGATTTTCTCTGTGAAGGGATTTAAAAAAGAGGAGATTTATGGGAGGGAGGAGGTGGCGATAGAGACACATACGGATCCAGGATGGATGGAAATCTTTTCCATGTGACTTCATACCAACAAAATGTAGGAGTCCACAATCTGAAATCCATGCAGAGAGCTGATCGTTTGGATCATTTAATAATTCATTGCCTTTGCTTTTCATCTGCAGGTTGGACTATTGGTTTAGCTGCTGCTAGGAGCTATCTCTGCCTCTAGATTACTTACTATACTGAGACAACGTAGAAATCTTAAATTTTGAACCTTACAAATTCTGAAAGCTGGAATTTTGGAGTAAATAAAATGGTATTGCAGAAGATAATGTGCTCCAGCTGTTTGGTTATTGTTTTTCCCAACTGTGCTAGAAGATTTCAGAGGATCTGTGGGAAATTGCATCCTGAGGATTTGGTTGCTAATCAAAGCACCCTGTGGGGGAGATGGAGCTGCAGTGAATTCTGGCATGCCAGTTCCATTGCTGCCATCTGTGTTTTTAAAATTAGCAGCAAAAATACATTTTATTGGCCTATAGAGTCAAGAAGTTTAAACTCGGACTACAAAGGTGTGAGTCAAAACAGCTTCCTTAGAAACTTTTTTCTTGGTTTTCTTTGTTTTTTGTTTTTTTTTGTTTATTTATTAGGATCTCATCTCTTTAGTTGTGGAGGAGGAATCTCGGAAGTGTGAGAAGAATTCAGGCCTCTGCTTCCCAGTTCCTGCCCCTCATCCTGTGATCCTGGAGATTGGCTGTGGCTCTGGAGCAATTGCTCTGAGTCTGTTACGAAAACTGCCACAGGTGAGATTTTTTTCAGTGTTCATGCTACAATAGATGTCCATGTTACAGGACAATCCCACTACTAGTCTTTACTGAGATTTCACAGACAAACTTCTTTGCTTTGATGGGACCTCAGCAGCAAAGGTCCCTGACCAGCAGGCTCTGTAAGTTCGTGCTAGGTGCAAAGACCAGCAGGCTCTGTAAGTTCGTGCTAGGTAGAAGAGGGGTGTTTAGGAATTGTTCCCCCCAGCTGTCTGCAGGAGTGGTGGAGACAGAGTGGAAGAAGCAAATGTGCTCATTCTTCAGCTGTCACAGCTCACTATTAATCACCTTAGCCTGAAGCACTGGTGGGTGTTGGTTTAAGTTGAATTTATGGGACAATCATCTCTAAAAATTACCTTGCTGTGAATAGAAAGATCTATTCTTTAGGAGACTGAAAACTAAATGAATACAGGGAAGGGATTACCACAGAAGTGTCAGTACTTGGGATCAATATGACAAGCACATGTCACACTGCCCCAGCTGCCAAACCACTCTTTTGAAGTTCTTTTGTTCACTAATAACAACCCACACTTTTTGAACAGAGTCAAAAGGGCAGGAAGGGGACTGAGATCTGGGTGACCAAAGCCCTTCTTGCCCCTGATTATTGTGGCATGTAACATGCTTACTGAGATACTGTTGGTAAACAGAAAGAGAAATGAATCCAAGATCTCACTGCACGTGGTTAGGGGAAAAATAGTCCCCTTTCCTCAGAATTGCAGACCAGTCAGATCCTCCTCATGAACGAGATTTGCTGTGGCCACCCTCTTGTAGAAGCACGAGACTTGGTGTGTAAGAATTAGAGGTTGATGCCTCTGCTCCTCCTCCCAGTGACCTGATAAGGTTAATTCTTGAGCTTCATGACTTCAGAGTATAATTACTCTGATTTCCTGAGCTGTACTTCATGCTCTTTTCCTTGCTTGTTAAGTTAAAGAGCTGTGTCAGTCTGTCCCGGTAACTGATAAGTCCTTTCCCAGTTGACTAACACAGAATGCTGTGCCCAGAGAAATAAGGAGCTTTGACTGATTAGAGTTAGTGGTAGCTACACTGACAGCTAAGTGCAGTTTACACTCTGTGTGATCTTTTTAGGGTTTCAGGCAGAATTTGGTGCTGGGGTAATTGAGAAAACAACAGCAACTTATGAATTCAGCTGTGTCCTTCACCTTAAGGGTCAGCTCCACATGCGTGGGTGCTAGGCTCAGGATGTGAAATGAATCCCCCTGGGCATGATGGCTGATGACACCACCATCTCCAAACACAGAGTAGTTTCTTTGAGCATACTTTCTCTGTCTAAATACTTACCAACATCTGCATTTAAAAAAAAAATATTAAGCAAAACAAAAACAAGTCAGGCCTTTGCCTGCACTTTTCCCAAGGTGGAATGGAAGGTCAAATAAATCTGTAACTGTGTAGTCTTGTCTCTTGGTGTTACGCTGGAGGGCTCACAAATACTTGACACACAGTCAAGTACGCGCAGTCAATACACGCAGTGAATGTGGTGTAAGGACTGTAGGGGAGTAACTAGGCAAAAGGTGTCTGCATAACAGATGGAGAATGCCAGTACCTCTGTGCAAGTGGTTATCTTAATGCTGGGAGGGATTCTGTCCCCGTTAGAGAAGAGAAGCCTAGGATTTGATCTTCCTTTAGCCTGTGCCTGCCCCAGACTAGCCAGAGCATTGAGTCTGACACTACTAGGAGCTATGAACATATCAGGTGATGTGAGTTTGTGTGACTGCATTGTTGTCAGCTGAGTTAGTTTGGTCAGAAGCCTATCTATTTTGGTAGGTGGCTGGCAGTGTTGCAGAGTGCCTTCTGTCACGTTAGCGGTGTTACTAGAAGTGACTCGTCATCCCATCAGTGCCCTGACCTGCATTCTTCATGAGCTATTCCTTTTAGGAGCCCAGAGTGAACAGTCAATTGCCAGTTCTTTTCTTGCATGTCCTTTTTGGCAGAGCATGTCTGCTCAGGAACCTTGATGTTGTAATACTTGTTATTTTTTCTGTCCCAGAGCCAGGTGATAGCCGTGGATAAAGAGAAGGCTGCTGTGGATCTCACCAGGGAGAACGCACATAGGTACAAGTCCACATATTACCCATTTTTTGTAAATTTTTGTTTGAGAAAGACCAAGAGTCCTCAATATTTGGGCGTGTGGTTCATATTTATCACCACTGAAAACCAGGGAGTGTTTCCTTGGTTTTCCTAGGTTGAGCTCCTAAAGCATGTAAGAATTCAGAAAAAAATGCTTATATTTGCGGGAGTATTTTTTCCTTTGACTTGGGAATGTGTTTTGCAAGGACAGTAGCCTAAATAAAACAATAGTACTTAAATGCTGTCTGCCTTTCAAGGGTTTTGAAAGTGTTCCGTGGTATCTGCTCTTACCCCTTTCTGTGACCTTGCAGGTCTGTGACCTCAAAGCAGCAGGTGATAATGTGTATGTCACTTAGGAGGTTAAGGACAAGATAGCCCGAACCTTTCTCTCTCTGGCTCCCTATATCATTATTGCTGTGCTTGTTTCTGTCATTGCTTCTCTAGATACAAGCTTGCACACTTCACTCTGATGTGTTGGTGTGGTGTCCCTCAGCATCCTCCTTGCAGTCTTGGGTTTGGTGAGAGCGGTGCTGCTGAGTCCTGTGCTGTTTGCACAGCTGTGCTGTGGTTTGGTGTTCAGATCTGCTGCATCATAGAGTAGTTGGGGTTGCAAGGGACCTTTGAAGGTCATTTAGTTCAACCTTCCTGGAAGAAGTCAAGCATCTTGTGCCTGAAGTCAGAACAGCTCTGTATCGGGTTGACCTTGTCCTTCTAGTGGCACGACTTCCTCAATTGGTTCTTTCTACCTGAGGTTATTTTGGACTGTCATTAACATAGTAAGTACCAGAGCTAGAATCTCAGTTTCGGTTTAAGTCTAGGATCCCAGTCTGTCTACAGTTTCTGTCTACAGGGCCCACATAGCCTTTTTTCCCCCAAGCTGCTGCCAGCATTGGGGGAATTGCCTGTCTACAGAGACAGGCAACTTCTGTGTCTGGCTGCACTGAGCTGCATCTCTTCACTTCTTGCAACTCAACCTTAGCTGTTATGTGAGTCTGAAGTGATGTGTAGGTATAGGCCCTTCCCAAACTTGTCGCCTCACTATTACCCTTTGCCTCCTAGTCCAGTTATAGGGAGTAGGGAGCAGAGATTTCCTTCTGATATATCAGTGTCAAACCAAGTTCTGTTGCAATTTTTCATAGATATAATAAAAGCAGGCCAGATCTTTGCCTCCTTGGTAGATTATTGCTCTGGCATCTGGAAAAAATAGTCTTGTTATTAACATTGCTTGTTGGCTCAAGAGCGGCTGAGGGAGAATAAATGCAGCGCCAGAGAACCTCATGTCTCTCTGTGGATATTTTCATTGTGTCCTTGTGATCTTGTCCATGGCGTGGTGCCCTGTAGCTCTTGGGAGAGAAGCCAGTAGGGTAAGCTGTGTTATGGCTTGACTGAAGCCAGCTTGGTTCCTGCCTCTTCTCTTCAGAGCTCCCTTATCACAGCTGTGTTCTCTAGATGCTTGGGTGAGTCTTGCTGTCACTAAATGTGACCATCTGGGCACACTGCAGACAGATGCAGGAATCCCTCCCTTTCTTGATGTCTGGGTATGCTGACAGGGCAGTGCCATAGGCCCCCACCAAAGGCAAGTAGGACTTGGCTATAAGGCCTTTGTCACAGCTCTAAGAACCCTGTAGGGTAGCCCTGAGGCGTTACACTAAAGAGCTGGGAGAAACACTCTGCCACTGATGGTGGGTTTCTCATGAGAGGAGAGAACATGCTGGGAAGAGCTGGGCAGTTTTGTTTTCTGTTGACATTGACTTTGTTGAGAACAGGAGTTAGGGGACAGTGCAGACTCTCTGCCACAATGTGCTCTTGCTGGTCAGGGAATGGCATCTCCTGTGGGAAGCCTGGAGTCTTTCTCCACCAGCAAATCTTGACCAGCCTTGTCTTTCTGACTTCGCTAAGTGCTTGCTCTGACATTGCTGGAGTATCTTCCCAAATCCAGAGGCAAACCCGGTGAGAAGAGAGAGGTGTTTTGGTGGGTGAACTGTGTAGCTGAGGTATTAGAGGTTCCATTCCTTCCTTGCTATCTCATGCTGTATGTTTCTGTGACCTCTCCTGCAGTATCAGGGTGTCACCAAACACCAAGGCTACTTTCAGAGGGGCCTCTCCTCTCTGTCCCAGGAACATCAAGGGAACTTTGCTCAGGATTCCTAAGGTTTAAGGGGATCACTGTCTCAACTGTTTTCCCCTGGCAGTGAGCCTGTTCCGTAGCAAGCTGAGTGCAAGGGACAGACCATGCCAGGTTGTGACAGACCGGAGCACGGTGCGGTGGCAGTCTGGCAGTCTCCAGGCTGTTCTACCTTGGATTAGTGCAGTGAGTCACATCACAATCTTGGCCGAGATTTCTCCCTAAGAAATACCAATGTGTTTATAGACCTGTTTCTTAAAAATAGCAAGGCAGTGTGCTTACTTGCCTGCTTGTCACAGGTAAAGGAGAGGTGTTCATGTCTTCTAGTGCCTTCAGGGGTTCTGCTGGTGGGAGCACCCCAGGGATGTCTGGGTGCAGATGAAAGGCACTGACCATAACACGTGGTTTCCAATTAATGTGCACAGAGATATGAGAAAGATCATGAGTTAGAAACCAGCATCTGAGAGATCCTAGTGTGTATTTTAAATACATTATACTGTACACTCTGTGCGTGAGCTGTTCCTCAAAGTGTCTCTTTTCCTCCCTCTGTGTCTGGCATTTTGGGCATGGGTTTTGCTGCCCTCCATGTGCTGGCCTCCTGGTAGCGTGCAGTAACATCTCATCACCTTAACACTGGCATGTGAGATGAGATCCAAAGATGCCTAGAAAATACACTCAGATGCCAGAACACTATTGAGATCTAGATTGTCAAGGAGGCTGGCAAAAGAATGTGGCAAGTGTGTGAGCATGTTGCCTCCACTTACAATAGCAGGTTTAAATAATTTGAAGCAGATGATTTTGTCATGTGTGTTGTGGGTTTTTTTTGTTTGTTTGTTTATTTATGTGTGTGTTTTGGGTTTTTTTTTTGCAGGAGTAGTGAGCTTAGGAGGGGGAAGACTTGGAGATGTAGCTAATATGCAGCAGGGTGGGGGAATACTCTATATGTGTGGCAAGGGGTGATACATGTAAGTTTTGGGTGCACAGGAGCTGCACCCTGGAATCACCATGGGCGCACAGTGTGCTCTTTGCTTTGAGTTTTGTTTCTCAGGCAAAAAGCAGATCCTAAACTTCCTTTGTGGCTTGAGAGGAATCCAGCTGCAGTCAGTGGGGTAGGATGTACGTGTATCAGATAAGAGATGTGACATTTAGTCATCTGTTTATAGAATGTGCTGTTCATGAATCCACAGAAAAATGCCTCACAATATTTCTTCTTTTTGTTTTTGCATCTGAAATTTTACAGGCTGCAACTCCAGGACAGGATCCACGTCCTCCACTATGATGTTTCATATGGTAACTCTTTTCACTGTTATGATCCCTTTTGTCTTTCTCCCTTTTTACTGTGGTGGGGGAGGTGGGTGTGTGAGACAGCCAAAGGACCCCGTTGGGATGCAGGGGTAAGAGGGGTGTTGAAGTTAATAGAGAAAAAGGTCAGCAAGAAATGAACCAGTGAAGCTTTTCCTGTCAGAGATTTCCAGGCCAGATGATCAGTTGAGAGAAGTTCCTGACTACGTCAGAAGATGAATTGTTCCTGGTTTTAAGTTTCTAAAGGTTGTGTCTGAGCTGGTAGTCCTGGTGCTCTCTAGCATTACTGGGGAGAAGCAAATACATACACAGGGTAATTCATTCCGTGCTGACATGGATGCTTTAGATAAACATGTATATGTCTGTCTCTCTGTTGATGTTAGAGGGAGCCCAAATATTTAGGTTAGATTAAAAGCTCAGCCTTATTCACCTGAAATTAGATGAGCTAAACCATGGGAGGGTACCTGTTGTCTTCCCTGGATGAAATGAGTTAAAACTGCGTGGGGCTTACCCAGGTAGGTAGATACGTCCTCAGCTGTTTTGGAGCCAGGAGCTGTGGAAGCAAGAGCTTAAGCATTGCAGATTCATTAATGCACCATTCTTAAACTATTGTTTTTAACACTGACCTCTCAGAGGTATGTCTGCACGGTCTCCTGTCTGCAAATTTGAGTTTGTGCTGCCCATACTCCAAACAGCTTCAGTCCAAAAGCCGTGGAGCTGTGCTGGCGTTGCAGCCCTGTGCCAAGGGGCTGGCCTGAGGACAGTGCCACACTCACATGGTTACGTGATGTCTGATTCCGGGCTGGTATGTGTCAGTTCAGACAGTAGTGAGAGTGTAGTGAGCTAAACCTTGTCTGCAGAAGAGTGAACCATTAGATGATTGGTACTGCTGGGAGGGCCTGGCTCTTTTGCTCATTAGAGGTCCTTCTGCAGCTCTGATGAGGGGAAGAAGCTGCATCCTGACAGCTAGTCTAAGCGCTCACTTAGGTCCCTGCAGGCTTTCATACGTTCAGGTTGTTGCTTTAGATCCAGATGGACAGATCTGGAGATCTATGCCCTGTGCTTTGTACCATTGTTCTGCTGAGTGGGGCTGTCGGTATTAAAAAATGATACTTTGCCTGTGCTTAGCTTTGTATCACTCTTGCATTCGAGATGGGAGAGTGAGGAAAGCGGGCTGTCCCAGAAAGAAATGGGATAACATTTTATCAGAGAAAAGCACAGCCAAACACATATGGGCATGTGTCTGGAGAGGATTTTGATACTGAGCTTATAGGGAAGGTTGCTGTGGTTGAGAGCTGGTTGTGATTGTTTTTCTTGTCTAGGTTCTGCTGAGCAGCTGCTACTCTGGGGTCCCGTAGACTTCATAGTCAGTAACCCCCCATATGTCTTCCATAAAGACATGGCTTCCTTGGATGCAGAAATCCTCCGGTAATCAGACAGTTTTTTTTCTTCTCCTTGAAGTAAGGTTTTCTGTCTGCTTCCTTATACTACACACAATTGCACACAAAACATGCAAATGCAATATACATGTACGTAGGTGTAGGTGTGTTTATATGGTATATAATAATATAACCAGTGTTACTTTGATAACTGTTTACAGGTCTGAAACAATATCAAAGTATTTTAAATATTTATAAAAATGCAAAAAGCACAGACTTTGAAATTAACAATATATCCAATCCAAAACTGTTTCAGAACATTTTTCCTGTTAGACCTTTTTTCTTCCCCCCATAGTTTATGTGAGTTTATGAAAGGCAGTAAAAGTATCCGAGCAGCTTTTTGTGATGGGGGAAAAAAAAAGCTTGGTTGGAAATGCTGTGGCCTGTTCTCATCCCAATACTTGTCTTAAGCAAACCCACCCACACAAACATGAATAAGCCCTTTTGGGATGTGGAACTACTTTGTGTGTCCTGGTTCTTTCTCAGAATTGATTGTTGTGCGTGTCAGGACAAAGCCCTGCACCACCCTTGTGCAAGATGTGCAGCAGAGCAGATTCTGAAAGTGGAGCTTGCTATATCCTACTTCTCTCTGCTCGGGTAGAAGGCAGTGCAACCTGGCTGTTGGCACGGTTGAAGAAAGCGAGCGATTCCTTGCTGTACAGCCCACTCTGTCCCTGTCCAGCTGGCACAAAGGGACAGATCCACCTGTTGGAACTGTCTGACCCCCAGCTGCAGTTGGCTCCTGATTTTCAGGAAGAGTTCAGGGGATGTTTTCTGCTGTAAACATAGAGTAGGTAGCAGTGGTAGCTGCTTTCTTCCCCCTTGTATTTTACAAAAAAAGCTATGGGTGCTGGCACCTGCTATAGGAGCGCTTGACTTCAGGTGTGTTGGGTGCATCTTGCTCCGTGGAGTGTGGGACAAGGCATCTGTGAGGGCACGGCTCATGCCACATGAAATGCTGTTAATGTCTTCTTATTCCCATACTCCAGCTATGAGGACCTTGATGCACTGGATGGGGGAGATGATGGGATGAGGGTCATCAAAACAATTCTGGCTCTGGCTCCTTCTCTTCTGAAGGATTCTGGGTAAGCACTGTTCTCTTTTTGAATTTCATGTCTTTTGTCCACTCACTTCTATAATTTCTGTTTTCTTTTCATACATGAATGTACAGAGGGAAAATAGTTGCAAAAATTTTCCCTCCCTCCCCATCTAATAATAGCAGTTTAAAAAGTCATGTGTATGAGCAAAATCAGCTTGAAATTGGTTAATAAAGGGATATGAGCCTTCCTTGACCAGTGATGGTATGTCATAGTCAGTAGTGAAGTGAGAATCTTTAAAGGTCAAAGCGGCAACAAAAAGAACATGAAAGAGAGCAGTAGAGAGAGACCACAACAAAAAAAAAAGAAAGGGAAGCTTTCTAAGCAGAAAAACTGATTGAAGGAGAAGGAATGCAGAACTCTGTGAGAATGGATGTAGATCTCTACTTCCCTCCCACCCTTTAATTAGGGGGAACTTGTTTACTGTTCCAGATTACAATGCTGAATATCCCAGGAGAAAGAAGATCAGTCAGGGATAGTTTCTTAAATGCTACATTTCTCCACGGTTAATAGCCAAGACTGATTGTTCCTCTTCTCTGTCATGTGGGTTCCATTTTGTGCTTACAGATCAACATGCTGATACGCAAAAGTCTGTTGTGCCAGGGCATTCTTGTTGAAAATTCCAAATGTTTTACCAGTATAAGAGAGGTCACTGAAAATCTGCTGTTCTGAGAAGAGGAACAGGAGTATTGAGAGGCATACTGCTTGCAGAAGAATTCATTCCTCATTCTTTGCATGACCACAAGAGCAGAAGATGCTCCTCAGAACTTACCAGCAAGAGAGATTGGTCCCATGGGGTTGCTAGGATTATTTTTTTTCCTTCCCTTTTTGCTTGTTTTATAAGGTGGAGTCCCCATTGAGGAGTGGAAGTCTTTTAAGGTCAGGAATGAGATCCACACACAGCTTGTTGTTAGTTTGGTGAATTTATAGGGAGCATTCAGTTTTAGGAATTCTCAGGAGATCGTATGATTGGGACTTGGCCTCTGTTCTCTGCCTGTTAAACTTGCATCCTGCTGTACTGTCACAGGCTGTAACCAGTTCCATCGTCTCCCTTTGCCTGTAAGCTAGGGTGGTACCATCTTGTTGTGGGAATGGAGGCTCAGAAATGGGCCAGTGTCATAAAGCCTGGCTGCAGCAGAGATGGAAATAGCCCTGCAGTGTCCAGGCTTAGTCCTGGTGCCCTAACTGAGGCTGTCTGATCAGTTCCCTTACCCCTGCTGCACTCTCTTTTGTACAGCCCTCTGTGTAGGTCTGAATGCTTGTGGTGTTTTCAGAACTGATTTATGGAGAGCTTTACTGTGGGAAAATGGTTGTACTAACTTGTACTTTATGACTCTTGCTACTGGGACTTAATGTCACACTGCTTCTGCAAAGAGGAACTTCATGCTGTTCCAGTGCTCATTGTCCATGCATCATAAAACTTAGTTCTGGCTTTAAATCTTTGGGGGCCTCAGAAAGACAGAATTGGTGGTATCTCTGCTGGGGACTGAAGAGGGATCCTTACATCCGGATATAAGGGTTTAACTACTTACCATGAGAATTCCCACCAAGATCAACATTGTCTCCCCCTGAAGTTGGGATCTGCATCGTGAATGGACAGCTATGATCTGGTTTTGGATTATTGGATTGTGGTGTATTTGCTGACTTTCTCATTTCCTTCACTGATAGTAGTCATCCAAAAACACAGACCTTAATTTTTATCAGTTTAGCAATCTAAATATGTGCATCTCCCCACTTTCTATTCCCAAATGTATCCTTTCAGGAGTGTGTTTCTGGAAGTTGATCCCAGACACCCAAATATGGTGGAGAACTGGCTACAGGCACACCCCAGCTTACTACTTGTCCTTCGTGCCATTCACAAGGACTTCTGTGGCAAGTAAGTCTCTTTTACCATCAGATTTTTGCTTCGGGTATAGATCTGTGTCCTTTGTAGATTACTCCCCAATGCATTGAATGAACTCTGCCAGAGCAAGTTCACAGCTGAAGCCAATATTTAACAAAATGGGGGCTCCCTCCAAATATCTCAACCTTCTTATATCCTGAGGTAGCCTGGCAAGTGCTTCTGAGTCACAATTCTGATGCAGGTAAGCATTTCTCACGGGGTGACTAGCTCTGGTAAGATTATCACCATTGGAAAATTGCTGCTTTTTCAGGCTGGAAGTAGAGGCATGTTCTCCCCAGCAAGATTAAAGTTCTGGTCATTCCTTTTCCCCACAGGCCTAGGTTTCTGCACATCCAAAACCAAAGCAGATGACAACTGTACCAGAAATAACTCTTCTTGCAGTATGCATTTGGCTGGTGAGCCCTGCTGAGCAGCTTGTTGAAAACCCTGCGTGGCAAAAGGAATCTCCACTTCATTCCCCAGTACATGGAACTCTCCACACGGTGCCAGACCCCCTCATTTCCTGAGGCAGACTTCATCCAGGGATGTGGAAGTTCAGCAGAGTGTGTAGAAGTGTTTCACCATCCTCTGAGAACTGCATGAGACTTTTTAGTTTGCTCTGCTAAAGTGACTCATTAATCTCAGGACCCAATATGGAAGAGTTCACAGCTCCAGATATTTCATGAAAAATACAACGTCTCAATGTGGCAGATCACCCATTTTACCTAGAAATAATTTAACTTTTTTTTTTGGCCTTGAGATGAATTGATATAGAATGTGACCAGATTATATGATAGGTCCAAACTCTGGCTTATATCAGCACGTGCATTGCTGGTGTAATGGGACATGATTAATTTGCACACTTCAAATTCAGGGTTTTTTTTCCCAGGATCCTGATGCTCTGGAGTAGATCTCCAACAGCAAAGCAGCCTTCGTTTCCTAGTCCTGCTGAGTGACACGTCGTTGAAAGATCAGTGCACGTGTTACACCGTCTGAATCTACAGCACCTGACACTTGGTGGATGCTGCCAGGAACAATCAAAACATTGTAATAAAGATAGTGCATCAGATAAGTGTCCTTTGAAGAACTGCTGTTCAATTACATTTTCAAACACGCTTGCAGACCTGAATAAACACCTGGCACCTGCACGTTGCTTCTGATAGTCATAGAAATGCCTGACTTCCACATAAGGCATTTAAATGCAAGACTTTACAAAGAAGGCCAGAATTCCTTACTCCAGGTTTGCAGATGGAGAAGTTGAAAAACAGGAGGTGAAATGACTGGAACAAAATTTGATGGCAGGCTAAGTTTGGAGTAGGACCCAGACTCTTGACAGCTGTGAGAATAGCTGAGGTCTTTTCTTTGGGAAGGATGACTCAGAGTAGGGCTGCCTGAAACAACGCTGAGAGAAGTCCCTGAAATGGACAGTCAACATCATGACTTTATAAATAATGGAAGGATTAAATTCAAGCTGCTGCTGCTTATTGTTGCCGCTGCTTCTGGTGTTGCAAGTTCCCTTGCTGACCATAGCTAGCCAGGAAAGGAAGGAAAGGGAGCACACCAGAGGATCTGGTCTACCAGTCTGAATGGAGGCAGTTGCTGGGACAGTGGAGGTGAGCGCTCAGGAGGTGGAAGTGACCAGACAGTGACAGGTGCTATCAGGCTCTCTGTCCAGGATGAACTGGGAGTGCAGAACCAGAACCATTAGGTAGGAGCTGCAACAGTAAACTCCATTTGTTTAGAAGGCTGCAGCACATTCAGAGGGCTTTACACAAGCACTAATACATCTAGTCCCTTTCCCTTTGCCTCTCCCACACTCCCCACTCTTTCATTCCCTTTTTAACTCTTGAATGTTGGCCCTGCTTTTCCACAGATACCTGAGCTCTCTCTGATGCACCAGTGCTTGGGTCTCCAGTTGGATCCCCTCTGCACCCTCTGGGTTTTACGGCTCTGTTCACCCCATCATCGTACCACTCAGCTCTGCATTCATCCTCCCCACCGCTTTACGCACCCCAGTAGTTTGCCATGTCACATACACTCTTTGCTTGACGTTCTGAGCCATCTCTGGTGCAGTACCCACCCTAGTGAAACACAGTAGAGGAAACCTAGGGAAGGAGAGAACTAAAATAGTTCAGTTAAAGTGCACTTGATCCTAGGTTTGGAAATAAAGTTCCAGCACAGCTGATTTCTGGCAGTTTTGCCTGCTAGAGCTGTGAGTACGAATTGTAGTCAAACAGGTGTTGTTTTGTTTGAGGCTTTTTAAATAATAGTTTAGGATTTTTTTTTTCGAAGTTCAGTTTGCCTGACTTGACTTCTTTAAATGTAATTTTTGAACAGAGATCACAGGTTTCATCTGGGTGTTGGCGGTGTTTCTGTATGAAGCAGAGCTACATGCACAGTTTACTTCTGCAGGATAGTTTACTGGCTTATGAGAGTGTTAAAGAGCATCATATTTCATTGTTCCGGGGTCGGCTGACTCCCCACAGCAGGCTGGACTTAGATGTCCCTGGGAGAGTGCTGATGGCTGGGCTGCAGAAGGCAGCGTGCCTTTTCTTGGAAGCATCAATCAGTCACTCGTCAGAGCTCTGAGCAGGACACTTTCTCTGTGAGACAGGCTCTTGGTCTACTCCAGTAGGACGAGTGTTAAATTCCTATATTTATAACTAAAGCCATAATAAAAAATCTTGCTTTTCTGTGGGCTTGTGCTGCGTAGTGGTTATACGTCTCGGAAAATCACATGATACTGCTGACCTTCTTGTAAAGACAAGAAGGGAGAAAAATTGTTCTTCCTCCCAAGAGGCTGGATTTATTTGTCAGAGTTGCATCTGAGGGGATGTGCTGGTGCAGTACAATGTGTTCTTCAGTGCTTTATGCATATTGGCCGGGGCTCATTTTGGTACAGAAGCACTGCAAAGCTTTTTGGAGATGGTGGTTTTAAGGAAGCACAGGCGCTCCCAGCACCCTTGCTGAAGCACTGGGCCGTGTCTGTGTTGTCTTTGCCCGTGAGTGGGAGGCTCAGCTGATGCCAGCAACGTGAGGTGCACGTGAGCTGTCTGCAGACGCATAGCTGCTCCCTGAAGCCACAGAAAGCTGACAGTCGGCGTTTTATGTAATCCAGTATCTGACATACATTTAATTTCTGGGACTTACTGTGTCTCTGGAACTATATCAAAATGGTGATGTGTTTCTTGAAGTGATGCTTTCAGAGAGGGGCTTTGTTTTCCTCCAGGACTCTGAAGAGTGTGGTTGTGTGCCCATGTCTGTGTTTTGGAGAGTTACCAGTGTGAAGTATCTCCTAGGGTCATGCTGGCCTTTCTCAGGGAGGAGCTGATAGAAGCCTGGTCTTTGGCAGAGCCCTGCAGATGGTGCTGTGGTCCCAGCTTATCAGTGTCTGCTGGAGAACAGTCCTGCCGCAGGCTTCCCTCTGTGTGGGGAGCGTGGCAAGAGAAGGGGCAACAGAGGGCTTTGGTGTAGATGCAGTTGCAAAGTGGGGCTTTAACTTCTCTTCCCGTGCCAGTAAAACAGAGCTTCAACGTGGGGAAGATGGGAGGGGAGCTTGCAGCTGCGATAGAGGACTGGGATTGTACCTCATACTGTTAATGGGAGGCCTGAAGCCTGCATTAATCTATGGATTTGGACAATCTGCTGTGCTAGAGGACAGAGTACCCTTCTTGTTCTGCTGTATTTTCAATGTAAGCACCCTGAAGTGCAAGTACCACCTGTGTTTTCAGTCTTCCACCCAAGATGTGAGGTGAAAAGGACTTTCTCAGGGACCTTAGAGAGTCTAAGGCATGTACTTATCCTCACAGTGCTCTCAGCTGAGCTGGTGCTCTTGTAAGGATGAGAGTCCTTCCCAGGTGAGGAACTGCCAGACACAGAGTGACTCTACTAGGGTGGCAGAGGAGACCTCTGGGGGCACAGCTGACTGAATGTGAGTGGATTACTGGCCAGCGCTCAGTTCCTTGATGCAGGGCCATAGATCAAAATGGGTTGGAAGAGAGTTTGACAGTCATCTAGCATAATTTTCCCTTCCAAGTAAGAATCAACTTGGCTTACATCATTCCTGATAAATGTTTGCCCAACCTGATCTAAAAGGCCTCCAGTGCTGATAAGAACTTTTGCATGCAATCTCTTCTGGTGGGGTGTTTTTCTTCCTGCTAGAAAGTTATCCTTTGTACCTAGTCTTCCTTGCTGCCATTAAAGCCAAGTGCTTCTCTTGTCCTGAGGTGGAGAACAGCTAACTTTCTCCTTAGAGCAGCTTCCATGTGGTAGTCTGTTGCTGTGTTTCTTCATGGTCTTCATTTCTGAGGAAAGAACACCAACACTTTGTTGTTTCTGTAGGCTGCTTGCACAGCCTTCCCTCCATGCTTGAGAGATGCAAAGGGGGACCAGGGGTGCAGAAGGGTAGGCTGCTTCAGATATGTTGCAGGTGGTACTTGAACCTATGGTAACTGGAATAACAGAGCTGCTACAGCTCATCTTATTACAGAGGAGTCGTCATTTCCTAAGCAGTGAAGACCAAGCCAAAACTTGCATTAACATTTTGTTTGTCTGGGCAAGTTTTCAAAAGCTGTATTTAAGTTTTTATAAACTACTATTTCTACTCTGGGTTGCATCCAGAAGGACAAATACCCAGTGAGAAAATGTTTCTCTCGCAGTCAAGAAGATGATGAGATACCAAGAGAGACTTTATCCAGTTTCTAGCCTATTTCCTCTTCCATAGATACTTTGAATATGCTTTGAGTTAGGTTTTGGAGTTTCAGGTGCTCCTCCTGTGTAGAATCACATCACATCATGGTCCTTCTCTGTATCTCTCGCCTGGCAGTTGCTTGCAAATCTCAGCATGGTCCATCCATTTCCTGGTGAACACAGGAGCCCATTTACATGCTACCACCCTGCAGTCCTGTGGTCATGGCCACAGCATGCCCTACATTCAGCTGTTGCAATTGGGACAGGTAGCAGAAAGTCACTGTAGCCTCAAGGATGTTCTAAAATGTGCCCTAGTTGCAGAAGGAGACCTGTACCCAGCCTGCTCCTGCCCCGCAGTCACCTCTCTGATTGTTCCAGACGGGCTTAGGCTGACATGCCCGGGCTTTAGAGACTGCATTTGAACTGTTCCCAAGCTTCGCCCTGAGGTAGTCTCTTGTAAGTGTGCCTTCAAGCAGGACGTGGTGTGTTGTGGGATATTGACCTGTACGTTCTCCCTGCCCCTGGGCTCTGGGTTTGCCCGTCGCTGCCATGAGGGTTCTGGCAGAGCAGCCTTCTGTGGGTATGCTAAAATGGTTTGCTAAATTCCTTGCTCATGTTACTTGGGGTTTTTGATCCCCTGCAGAGAGGGTACGTAAAGGTTGTGGTATGCCCCTGGGTAGAAGGAATGGAGCACACCAAGGAACGTGGTAGTAGTAAGAAGTGTGACCGTGGTAACCTGTGTGTGCTGTGCAGAGCTGAATGCCGTGATGGTTTTCCTTCTGGGCTGGATCCTGACATCAGGCCTTTGGGCAATGTGGTGTGTGCAGATGCACTGGAGTGTTTGCAAAATCCATTGTTTTTCAAGGGATATGCTCTTGAGCAAACTGCTTTAGATATCTTTCTTTTGTGCCTGAGGAAAAATCCATGTGTCTATGGATTTCGCTGTGGGGACAGAGTAGGTAGGGATAGCAAAGAGCCCATGATTCCAGCTGTGCCCAAAAGCAAGTGTGACTTGCACTCTCTTGCACATCCAGGAATGACTTGCACTCTCTTTCTCTCTGCCCCAGGTCAGGGGCAAATAAGCTGTTGTTCCACTTTGCTCCCTTTGGGAAGTTTAACACTGCATTTGCTGGAAAGTTGTCGGTGGTTCCATCCTGTGCTGGGATTCACCAAATCCGGATTCAGACCCTTGCTGTGTGACAAACTGCAGGCCTGACCTGGGGTGTATTATTGCTTGTCTGTTCTCTACCATTATGGTTGCAGTAATAGCCCTTTGCTGTCTTAGAGTACCTTGTACAGAGGATGTGGGGTACTCAGTTACTTCAGAGAGCACTGTGACTGTCCTGTGGCAACCTCTTCTTCAGTTACATCCAGAAAGAACGAAGAATGAGCCAACTTTTCTGAAATCCATCTCATCTGCTTCTCGGTGGCAGGGCACACCACCCTGCTGCGGCATGAGATCAGATTTGCTTTGCTGATCTCCAGTGCTGCCAGTGCAAAACCAAAGGACGTGGGAGCGAGCCAAAGGACTGGCACTAGTTCTTCTGCAGCAAGCGCCTCCCTGAGCGTGATGAGAGCACGATGCACAGAGAAGCCAGCCCCGCTGCAGAGTGCTGAGAAAGTGCATCCTGTTCACAAAAGCAAGTGGTGCTTCTACAGTGCATGAGCATCGAATATGTGGCTGTTGCAGATGGAGAGAAGTGCTGCCACATGTTGTGGTCTCCACGGTTTGTCTCCTTCATGTGGTTGATGTCAGAGCTGTAGCTTTAAGTGGCAGCTTCTAGCTCTAAAGATCTGTTTCATCATCTTCCTTCACCAGCAAACCTGAATTAGTCACTCTTCTGTGTCTTGCATGCTCATGCCGGTGTTTTGGGCAGAGTGGACATCAACATGTCATTTCAGTTGCAGCTTCTCTGCCAGTGATGATAACCATGGCTACATGAGCAAGGTTACCTCCGGATAGATGGTCTTAGAACAACTGCAGTTGAACCAGATGCTGCCTGGGGAGGAAAGGGCCTTGTCCTCCATTAAATATTTGCTCTGGGTTCAGCCCTTCAAGGGCTGCATAAGGAGTGTCAGGCTTCATCCTGTCTTTTGTGACAGCTGGGATATTCTGAGATCATCCTGCCCATTGCAGGGATTCTCAGCTCTCAGGCTGGAATTTGCAGTGTGGCAAAGGAGAGTTTGCCATCTAAATATCCAGGGCCAACTGGTGTGGCGAGAAACTGAGGCACAGCAAACGAAGAGCCATAGCAGAGTCACAGAAAGAGCTCAGATGCCCTTAATGGCAGTTCTTGCAGCCCTAGCTCTAGTTATACTGTTTCTCCCTTTACTGGTTCTTTAAATAGTAGAGCCATCCCAGCTCTTGCCTGGGAGGATGTTGGTGCCAAGTTATTGTTACTCCTTCCTGTTTACATGAAGAGAAGATGAGAGAGGGTGACCAGAGAAATGGTCAGTTTGGAGACCCTCAGTCTTGAATATGGCACAAGGGCAATTTTCACACTGTGTGTTACTGGTGTGGCCTTTACTAAACACTGCAGGACCCAGACTTATGCAAATGACAGATGTGATGGAGGAGGGAGGGAGTGGGGAAGAAACCATTACATGAAGTTCATCTAGAGAAGACAAGATTCTTGAGAAAGGGTGTGTTAAAATGGAGCCGAGCTTTTAGGAGTGATGGCCTGTGCTGCCACAGTCCCGCTTTGCCGCTCTGAAATGGTAAGTAGAAGTGTGAGGCTGAATCTCCTTAAGGTACAAGTTGTATATAAGAGGCAAACTCTGAGCATCTCTGCTTAATGTATGCCCTTCAGAGAGTGAATGGAGCCCCTTCTCTGGTGTGGATGGCTTTCTGGTGGACTACAGGGGATGGGCAAGCAACAGTGGACCAGGCACAGCATTCTGAGGAGCCTTGTTCCGTGGAGGGCAGAGCACTGCTCAAAGCGTGTCACAAAGATGCTACTTGCCCAGGTGTACAGGAGGCAGAACTCTGTTTCTGGTGGGATGT